TCGGTGGATATTTAGATCTTTCTAAAAAAATCCCAGCTTTACTTTTCAATGCAAGGAAGTTCGTGTAGTTATTAATTTGTGGAGTGAAGAAAAAGAAACGGCATCGCCAGTCCTGCCGATGTTTTACGTATAAAATATATATTTAAACTATTTACTATTTGTATCTTAGCAGGTAAGGCCCAACCGAGCTTTCATGTGGTAGATTCAGTGTTATACAACGATATACGTTCTCAAGGTCATTTTGTCGATCCTGATCGAAGCAGCTGCATTCAAATATTGGCGAGTCTCACAGGTGACGTTCATTTAAACAAAACAATTGTTTTTCCCAGGTAAGGCCCACTGAGCTAGATAGCTCTCTTTTACAGAAGCGACGTGACCACAAATGATCGCTCAACGTAGCGGCGATTCATCGTCGCGTGGAGATGTGCAGCAGCAGCCAAATGCTGTTGTCACACGCCCAGAGCGCGTTCACTTTACACATCGCTGACTCCCGCACAAGGCGGAATGCCAGATTTCACAAGCCAACTGGAAACATTGCCACATTAAACAAGGGCAGGTTAAACTCGACACAGAAATATACCACGCACTTTCTACTTCAGTCCGAATTTTACCCAAGAAATACTGGAGAAGTCTCAAGACTATTTTTTCACGTTGGGTCCTGCTTGGTATATTTGGCCAATGCCTTATTGAAGATATTGTATATATGTTATAACACACACATCTAACATAGCACAGCACAAACAATACAAGAAATGAACACCTTCATCAGCACTGCTTTTGAAGATAAAATACACGTAGTGGAATGGCTTTTTGGAGCTCAATATTACTATTTTATATGTATGTATGTTGGACTTCTTTCTCACCATACATAGCCGAGCACGCTAATCGGAATTGCGGGGGAAGGACAACAAACTAAACACTAAAAGCACTTCTAAAGAAATTAATTTTCAATCTAGATGATGATGTAAAAGTGCATAGCTCCAGTGGCTTCCTCATATCGGAGGGAAGAGCGTTCCAGACGGCGATTCAATCTTCACAGTTCGAACCGCAGCCGACTTGCTGTGTGCTACCTCCTGAAAGTAGCACGTTGTTTCCAACGGGTGCATGTCTCACGCACATATTGCCTCCGTGTCTCAGTGGTTCACTGATCCTCTCCTTCAAAGTTGCTGTATTCACAGCTGTGCCTTGTCACCACTCCTTGTCTTACCAACTAGACGTGTTTAGGATGTCACACATACTCAATCCGCAGTCGAAAGTCCCAGTGCAACCACAGGATTATATATATAACCTCTCAAATAGCTAACTGGAGCCACTGCAATGGGGGTGGAGGTTGTGGAATTAACTTTTCACCCCACAAGACCGCGTGGGTGATTTCATGGCGTCTTTACTTTTCTGTGCAGCTCTGCAAAGTATTTTCGGCTCAATTTCGATTTAAAGCTTTCGTGACTGCAGGGATTCATCTTCTTGGTTCTTTCGGTAAAGTCACGTAGAACGGAAATAATAAAATAAAATAATAATACAAATTAAACATAATAAAAATAAAACATAATAAAATAATTCTCACGACGTTTCGGCCACAACGCAAGCAGCCGTCCTCAGGTGAAGAACAGGTCTGTCGATAAGACAGACTCAGACTTTGTCTTATCGACAGACCTGTTCTTCACCTGAGGACGGCTGCTTGCGTTGTGGCCGAAACGTCGTGAGAATTATTTTATTATGTTTTATTTTTTTTATTTTATTACTTCCATTCTACGTGACTTTACCGAAAGAACCAAGAAGATATTTTGGGCTCGCGCCGCGTGTTGTTCGGCGCGGTGTCCGACGTTTCGCTGAAATTTTGCCCAAGAAGCTCGCCGGCGCGTGGAGACGGCGCGTCGCCCGTCGTACCGAGCGGCTCGCGGCTGCAACCGGGAAACTCGCCGGCGAGTCTCAATGTCGCGCGGCTCCCGCGTCGCGTTGAGCTGTTTCGCTGTGATTCCCGATTTTTTGTTGAAGGTTCCTTCATAATCAACGTTTTTGGAGGGGTTAGATCGCGTTATTTATAAATGTGTCGTAACCCTCCACCACCCGACACGGCCAATCAGTAAAAAAGTGTCACGTTGACAAAAGACAAATAGTTCACTGCTTTAGCCCACCGGTGTGTTGAAGCGTGAAACCACAACATTTACAATTTTTGAGTTGTACGACGTTTCGCTGGTAATTGCATCCAACATCATCGGACAATTCGTTTCAACACACCGGTGGGCTAAAGCAGTGAACTATTTGTCTTTTATCAACGTGAAAACTTTTTTACTGATTGGCCGTGTCGGGTGGTGGAGAGTTACGACACATTTATAAATAACGCGATCTAAACCCAAAAACGTTGATTATGAATAATATTGGTCGCGAAAGCCTACGTGTTAAACTGACTTAAGGTTCCTTGTTTTTTTTGCTGTCGCGTGCCGTTTATTCCGTTGCGTGTTGCGAGCAGAGACAAAGAAACGTTCGCAATCGCGCCGCAGCGAGACTCGACGCGACTCCGCGAGATGAATCAAGGGGGGTGGGGGGGGGCACGGATGTCGGCACCCCCCGAGACGTTATTCACAGGAGCCACTCCTCGTGGCCAGTTTCCTAAATGATTTTGTTGGATTGTTTTAATTTTTATCTGCGGTGTAAGCCGGCTTGCGGCATTTGCACACCTTTTGTTTCACAACAATTAAACCGATTTGCTGCATTTGGCTGAAAGTCAAAGGCTGTTGGCAGATTTTTAGCCGTGGCCTTTTGCCATTGGAAATGCATTAGCGCCGCGATTGATGATTCATTCCCGTGCAGACAATCCACTGCGTAACAATGACTTAGAATAACGTGAAAAAATAACATTCGGTAATGTTCAGCCCTTTTGTCTCTCTACTGCTGGATGAAGACTTTCCTGCGCCATGTCGATTGTCTGTCCATACTTCACCACGTCAATTTTCGCGGAGCGGGGCGGCCCCAGGACCGGTTCCGATGTCACTCGACACTGACGTTAGCCCTGGCGGGGAATTGAACTCGGGCTTCTGGGTTGTTTGCGAGTCTCTCGGCTCATGCTGCGACAGTGGTCATGCTTGGGATGTTGGCCCAATTATTTAGCGGGATTGTTTCTGTACAATGGAACTGGAGTGACTTTGGGAAACCCACAATTGCAATGAGTAAATATTACAGGAACTTTCCAGGGTAATAATCCTGCTGCATTTCTGACATAGGGATGTACGTGTTGACCTTCTTTTGCGCCGTACGTAGCCAACCGTGCAAATCGGAGGTGCTTGGTGATTTGAATTATTAGAGCCCCTTATTTGCAGACTGGCTGTGGTGCCCCGACCCACACTGTGTTCGGCCACCACACTGCGGGTCTAAACTCTCCTCTCTCCGCGTCTCTCCCCACCCCGCTCCACTTTGGAACTCCCTCTCATATACTCCCTTTTGCCCAACAATTCTAGCCTGGCTCGATTCAAAGTCGCGTTACCTCTTATGCGGTTGCGACTTTAAGAGTGATGTTTGCTGCTGACCGATGGAGTTTTGGGGCTTTTGGAACTGTGCTCAGCAACCATAACACAACAACAAAAACACCAAGTAAGTTAAATGATCTTACAAGTCAAGGTCAAGAGGTCATCACAGCCTGTGCTGTTAATGGTCACCACACCACGCCATCGCTCCCTTCCTCCTGCCAGATCCCACAGCTGTTGCACAGAGAGGCGATTGCCTCTGTTGGGCCCTCAGGGCGTTCACCTGCCCCTGGGGCTCTGCCACAACACGTGCTGCACAGCAGTTGGCACCGGGAAGTAGAAACTTGTGTCGCCTACATTTCTGTGTCGCCCGCTTTCATCCGAACATCTAACGAGGCCAGCTTACGGCTTTGATCTCAGGACACTCAAATTACCCGCTTGGTGCCTTCATTTAAGCCGCATCAATTATATTAAATATTTCGTGATAATTTAAAATATAAAATTCGCATTCTGCCGACGATGGTATGCTTTCATCATTTGACTTCTGTATTGGGGGGGGGGGAGGGTGCGGTGGGCAGGGGTTCGCTTTGTCCCTCACATTACGAATCGCGAGTGCAAATATATATATAAATAATTGTAAACTACTGAAGCTAAATTAATAAAGGTGACCAGTTTGGGAGGGGGGTGTTGCCCCCCCCCCCACGACCCCCGCAAACTCCGCCCATCGCTTTCATGTGGGGGGTTTCCTCTGGGTTTGAGCAGACGAGAGGTCTGTTAGGTGCAGCAGCAGCAGCAGAAAAAAACCTTTCTGCTTCACGCATTAAAAACATCGACCGGCTGAAACTTGTTGAGGCTGAGCTGACCTACTGGCGGCCCATCACCAGGTGCAGATACTTGAATCGAAGCAAAGTCACTGCAACAAAAAAGCTCAAAGTCCTTCGACCAACGTAGGCCTTCACCTTGTAAGATTTATGATGGTTTTTGTTGTTGCTGATGTTGTGATAAATACCTGAGCAACCGTTTAGCTATATGAGGAGGAATTTGGTCAACTTTATGCCACTGTTGTGAGTCAATTCAAGAGATAATTTGTGCACTTGCGAATTGCTCCATTCCTATAGCGCAGAGCCACCGTGAAGGTACTATACGCTTGATATCCGAGTATAGTCTGAAGTAGATCCACAGTAATAACCCGCTGTTGCTATGCGGTTTGATAAAATTTCGGGAGATTTGCGAGCATTTTAAAACGTTGCAAGTTGAGACCGTGACACCGGCACACATGGCCTCTGTCTCTTTTTCCAAGGACACGAAGTGAACGGCGTGTATTTATGGTTGATACACCCCTGGTATTACCCAGGGCGGTCGTCGAGTTCGAACCGCCAACCTCTACAAAAGGCAACGACTGGCTCAAATGTCACTCGACACTGATGTCAGCCACGGTCCTGCTCTGTTTATTAATTTATTTTAAAAACTAATAACACTTTTGCTTCTTGTGTATTCCACCATCTCTCTCTGCCTCCCTCTCTCTCTCTCTCTTCACAGACGACGCTCGCTGGTAACCTGCCGTTTTCCCTGCGGTCGCGCAAACGCGCTCAACGCACTTCACAAAACCGGCGACTGCTCGCCGCCGCGACCACGCGGCGGGACCATGGCCCAGCCTGGCAGCCTCCTCCTGCTGCTGCTGCCGCTGCTTCTGGCCACGTGCCTTGGCCTCGCGGCCGCTCTGCTGCCCGGTGCAGGAGACACGAGCCCCAGACACGTGAGCCCTGGAGGCCCGGGCCCCAGAGACACGGGCCCAGGAGACACGGGTCCAAGAGACTTGAGCTTAGGATACGCAAGCCGCAGATACTCAAGCCGCAGATACGCGAGCCCCGGAGACACGACGAGCCCGGGAGATGCGAACTTAGGGTCCGCGAGTTCTCGGCACACGAGTGTCGGGGACGCGAGTCCAGGAGACGCGAGCCCAGGGACCACCACGGCACTGGCTCCCACCGACGCCGCGTCCCACGCCTGGCATCCCGTGAGCTTGGGCTCAACTGCCGCCCGGATGCTGCTGCTGGCCATGTTTCGGGCTCACGGCCGCGCGGCCGTTTCTTCCTCCGGGGACGGACCGCTGCCAGACGGCGCCGATGAATCACCGGCTCCGACGTCGAGGTCAACAGCGGCGGCGGCCATGGCATTGTCCATGTTGCGGTCGTTGATATCTCATCGGCACCCCGCTCGCAACGGAACGCTCGCTTCCGGAGGTCCGGCGATCAGCTGGGGCCCCCTGGACGCGAGCAAGGAGGATGCTGCGCTCGCCTCCATGCAGACGGAGCGAGACGTCGACCTGGCCTTGCCCGGCGATGCCGAGGGTCCGACGTCGATCGTGACGCACGGGGACGAGAGGTCGGAGGAGAGGTCGGAGGAGAGGTCGGAGGAGAGGTCGGAGGAGAGGTCGGAGGAGGATGAGGACAAGTCATCGTTCGTGGCGTCGCTGGTGGACGAGGGTTTGCTGCCGGCCACGTTTGACGGCATCGCGCCAGCCTCGGCGTCCGTGAGCGAGGGTGGAGAGGAGCCGTCTGTTTCGCCGCGGGGCCGATGGGAGGAATCTCCGGCTGCGGGGTGGTCCTCCTCGACCAGTCACGCAACGAAACGATGGCAGGGAGGAGGGTGGACTTTCACATCGGCCAGCTGGGCCTCCTCCGCTACGCGGGGCTCCAACGTGGCGAGAGAGACCCCGAGCGAGGAGACCCCGACACGCGCGGCCGCCGTGCCGACCGCGGCGCGAGAAGAAGGCGATGCGTTTGGCACGAGTCGAACGCCGACGACCCGTTCTGTCGGTGCGCGCGGAATCACCCTCAGCAGCAGCGCAGGCATCGTGACAACAACGACAACAACAGCAGCAGCAGCAGCTCCGACCTCAACACAGTTCACGAACCCCACCGCAAAGACGAGCGCCACCAGATTGTGGGACTTTCCGCCGACATCGCACGCGACGGCGGCGCAGGGTGCGGTGCAAGACGGAGACGACTTTGAGAGGAGCAGCGTCGGCAGCGAGGTGTTGCTCACCAGCATCGAGCCACCTCCGAGCGATTCGTCTCAGACGACGGCCCCGACGGGCCCATCCCGCGGCGGCGGTGGCGGCGACTCCGCCTTCACCTCGACGGCGGCGGCAGCGGCGGCGGCAAATTCACCGGGCCGCTCGGAAATTCCACGTGCGTCAGCGTCCCCCGCTCCGGCGATCTCCCCGGGGACGGACAGCTGGGCGAGGCGCGTGCCCAGCAGCTCGCCCGCCCAAGCGTCCTCCGGCTTCGCGCTACTTGGCGGCGGCAGCACGGAGGCCCCCGGGGGACGAGGGCGGCCGCCGTGGCAGATGGCATCGTCGTCGTCGTCGTCGCCCGCCGCCGCCACGTCTCCTGATTTCCCCGGGGGGTCCGGGACCTCCTCTCGCTCCGTCGCTCGGACGTCGGCGGGCAGCATCATTTGGAGCGACCGACACGATGGCGGCGGCGGCGACGATGATGACGATGGACGTTTAAACTCGCCCTCCATCACCACGGCCGTCGCCTGGCCGCAGGGCCACGGTGAGCGTGAATCTCTCCTCGGCAGCACCGAGAGCCCTCGCTCCACCGCCGCCGCCTCCACGGCCGCTCCTGCCGCCGTCGCCACGGCGATGCCGGGGATGTCCGTTGGCAGCGGTGGCACTAACGGGGCAGGCGGAGGCGGCGGAGAGGGTGCGGAGGCCACGCCGTGGTCGGCTTGGGGTCGGGAGGTCATGGTGGATGCTGGTGTGGGCGGGGAGCAGCGGGCGGCCGAGAGGGACACGTGGGGCTGGACCCAGCACACCCGGCATGACCCAGGTGGGTGCTTCGCCCGCGGCGAGAAGCGAGAACCGTTGAGTCAATGGGCGACGTGCGGTGCGCGCAGTTTTTCTTTGAGTGGTCACAACTGATCTCGGTTGGTAGAACTGCAGCGCTTCCAGTTGTGAGGTTTGAGAGTTGAGCTCTTGGCCCCGGACTTGATTTTTCACTGCAGTCGTCATCATTGCCATCATTGCCCTACCAGCCCTACAATTTCTTGCATGTGCCACTACGGACAGAAGGGTAGCCCTCGTGAGCTGCTCTAGAGAGAGGGTATTTGGCCTACTCTTCCACGCTGACCAGATGTCTAGGACGAGGTTGGAGTGCCCACACTTTACTGCCCTGCACGCGAACTGCCGATTGGATGTGCACCATTCCTTGACTGGCGTGAAAATGAGCAACACGCATTTGAAATTCCCAGTCATAGCAATGTGGAATTTCCATCATTGCCAAAGACTCACGCAATGTGTGATTGAGCCCTATGTTGAATTGTAATGTGCGATGCCAGGCTGCAGTGAGGACGTGGGAATTCCAGTTTGAAAATATTGTAAAGACAAGGGGAGGCAGAGGTTTTAAGCAAAAGACACCAACCTCAATAAATAAAAAAAACATCGAATCAATTCTGGCATTTGTAAAATGTTGCTAATGGCATGATAATTCACGAATCTATGTCACGTCGTAAAGCAAATTGTGAAGGAAAAAATAGGCGTGCCTTTCAGGGGCTCAGTGGCTCATTGATCAAACACAGCCGTTATGGGCAGAGCCCCTGATCCACCTCTTCCTCGCCATTCACATTCCAATCGTAAAGTCCGTGGCTTCGCGAGTGGCAGCTTTCGGAGCCAGACTGGATCTCAAACTTCATGCTGCAGGCTGCCGATTGGCTGACTTCAAAGAGTGGTGAGCCGCGTTTGCCGGTAAACGCTCAAATCTGCCACCCCCAGACCGCAGCCACCGCTCTGGTGACGCTGGAGAGCGCCTGGGCTGTGTTGCATTTGACAGAAAGCGACGCGAACAAAACCCTGCGCTGAATCGAGGCCGGTCTGATCGATGGGGCATGAGTAAAAACTAATTTGGGCAAGGACGCACTTCCTTTATCGCCTTAATTCCGACTGGGCCGTCGCACGCCATTAAACAAACGGGCATTGCTTCGTAACGCTCGGGTCCCAGGCCCGATGATTTACGGTGCGAAGGTGGTAAATTGTTACTTAATTGTTGCTGGAGTGCCCGCTTTGGCTTTGTGAACCTCGTCCCGACCGATGGAGCTGTCGCTACACAGTCATCGGGTAAGGGCAGGGGGCTTGCAACCTCTAACCCTTGCATATGTGGGTGTCTCAGCGGCAAAACGTTGACTTCCTCGCATGGTATACAGGAGGTCGTGGGTTCGATCGCAACCCTGATGCCTATATATTTGGAGATTGCATGTTGTACCCGTGGCAGTGTGGATTTTTCTCCGGGTCCTCCAGTATTTCCCTCCACATTTAGAAACGTGCGTTTAGAGTCTTTGTGATAGATTTCCACGCGATAAGCCACTTGGTTGAGCTATCATTTGTGACCAGGTCGCTTCTGAAAATCAGCTTCATAGCTCAGTGGGCTTTACCTGCTAAAATTAAAAATAGTGTAAATACTTTTAGTTTTTACAGCCTCTCACAAGGCTGAGCAGCTGCATCTTGCTCCGCTCGAGACGAGACACCGGGACTGCAATGGCAATGCGTTAGGATTCGTTTGTTTGAGCCGCTGTTGCATCGCCACGGGTGTCAGCGGCGAGCGAGATCTGAACCGGTGCCGAGCAACCCCTCCCCACCAACTCGCACTATTCGCACAGCACGTGGATGGACAAAAAGGCCCGTACGTGTACACGTGCTCGAACTTGCAAGTCAAATACCGTACACTCGTACGTATCGACGCAAACACATCGCATCCTAAGAATGAGGACCGTACATCGACGCGTAACATTTCATTTGCAGCCATCGGCTCCGGACGGAGGTAACACAATTCCTACCGGTCATCCAACACCGCCTTTTCCCTGCGCGACATTCATTCAGAATTTTATTCGTGTGTATAAAAACGAAAATATTACACAAAGGAAGCCCTGGCCCAAAAAAAAAAACCTTAACAAGCTCTGAGAAAGGGCCCCCCCCACCCCGCCCCACCGAACGAGAAGTGGCGTTGGATGAGACGGAGCGGCAGGGCGGGCGGTGGGCTCGGTCACCTGCGGCGAGGAAACTCGGCGGCACAAAAGGCGCATTGACCCTCGCCGGGAGTAATTGGGCAACGACGAGGGCAACGTTTGGGCCGAGCGGCGGTGACAAAAGCCTCGCCTGTGTCGGCCGCGGCGGAAGGCGCACAAAGGAATGGAGCACAAACGCGGGGCCCCGGCTCTCTCCTCGTGGAGTTGCGGACTTCCACCAATTAAGCGGTTTTAAGAGTTTCGAAAACCGACGCCAGATTTTTTTACTGTTGCACCTGACGGTTTGCGACTAACAGATGATTGCTGTTGTTGCTGGTGGGTTCTAATTAGGCGCACGCCCGCGGCTCCGAGTTGCGGGTGCTGATGTTGAGTCGCAAAGAATCGCGAAGGCGCCTTCGGATGGACTCTGTGAGCCTCGAGAAATCACGTAGATTTTCTTTTTTTTTTGACGGATGACACCGGTGGCTTAGGCATGAACACTCTCTTATAGCGGTGTACTTTCTAAATGCGAAACGGAGACACAAATTGGCACTGGCATTCTGGCAACGGCTCCGATGGTATTCATATCGCCGCTGTGATTGAATGTTACCGAATAACACTGGTCCACAAAAAAAAATTCTGGCCTGGACTTTTGCAGTTGTTTTAGATTAATTTCAGGGTGCTGATTCCAAATCTGATCTCAGATTTGCTCTGTCACATCTCTTTTTTATGCTTTCGGCATACCCCATTTTCATTGATTTTACCCGAAATTAACTTTGTCACTTATGATTGCAAGTTTTTGCGAGTCAGTGACTGCTTTAGTGTTAAAATATGGTGCTGTATTTTTAGGATAGTGTGTTGATAATATCATTTTATGTAGATATCCACATTTATTTAATAGTGTATAATGTTTCTGTTGTGGTTTGGTTGAGTGGCAGCCGGGCTCCCTAATTTGTTGTGAGATCGCCACAGGAACCATTCTGAGCAGGGTTACCCCCTCCCCCCCCACCATCGCCCCGTTTGTCACTATCCAACAATAATCATCATCATCTCTTTGTGGTGAGCAAAATGAGACTCACCTGGTGAGGCTGAGGCACGTGGTGGGAAGTCGACGGTGATCGTTGCGTTAAATACAGAGCGGTCTCTTCTTTTGAGATCGAAAGTTCATTTCTGTAGAACTGCTTTGTTTGTGTTCAGTTTGTTGTCCTTCCACCGCGCCTCCGATTAGCGCGGTTGGCTACGTACGGTGATGAAGGAGTTCAACATCCATACGGGGATGCTGCCGCGGCGTCAACGGTTAGCACGCTGGGCTTGCAATGCAGATGTCTAAAGTGTGTCCTCCGAGTAGTATGTATACATGGGTAGTTCACAGTTAGTCGATCTGCAGGTTGCCTGTCGCGGGATAAAGTGCGGGCATTCTCGCACCTCTTCCCAGATGTCTAGCCGGCGTGGAAAAGCAGGCCAAGTACAGGGTACCATCTGGAGGGGCTCTTTAGGGCTGCCATGGGTGGAAGCCCTTCCACCATCGGTGGCGTCAGCATGCACGTGCAGGGTCGCGCCTTTACCATCGCCATCCTTCTTGAAGTGTGGCATTTCCCCACGAGCAATAGAGGCGAATGCAGCCATTAAAAACCGCGCACGCGCGTGTGTGTGTGTGCGTGTGTGCGCGTGTGTGTGCGTGTGTGTGCTTGTGTGCGTGTGTGTGTGTGTGCGTGCGTGTGTGTGTGCGTGTGTGTGTGCGCGTGTGTGTGTGCGTGTGTGTGTGCGCGTGTGTGTGCGTGTGTGTGTGCGTGTGCACGTGTGTGTGTGCGCGTGTGTGCGTGTGTGTGTGTGCGCGTGTGTGTGTGCGTGTGTGTGCGTGTGCGTGTGTGCGTGTGTGCGTGCGTGTGTGCGTATGCGTGTGTGTGCGTGTGTGTGTGCGCGTGTGTGTGTGCGTGTGTGTGTGCGTGCGTGTGTGGGTGCGTGTGTGCGCGTGTGTGCGTGTGTGTGCGCGTGTGTGTGTGCGTGTGTGCGTGTGTGTGCGCGTGTGTGTGTGCGTGTGTGCGTGTGTGTGCGCGTGTGTGGGTGTGCACGTGTGTGCGTGTGTGTGTGTGCGCGTGTGCGTGTGTGTGTGCGTGTGCGCGTGTGTGTGTGCGTTTGTGTGTGTGCGTGTGCGCGCGTGTGTGCGTGTGTGTGCGTGTGTGCGTGTGCGCGCGTGTGTGTGTGTGTGCGTGTGTGCGTGCGTGTGCGTGTGTGTGCGCGTGTGTGTGCGTGTGTTGCGTTACGTGCACTTCGCGGCATTGGTCCTGCAAGTAATTTGAAAGCAGGAGGAAAAAAAGCTGTAACTTTAGTAATAGCACAACGAAGGAAATAAATAAGGGCAGTAAATAAATTGTACAATAAAAAATGGAATGAAACAAAACGGGGCATTGAAGAAGGCTAGATTGTGGGGGGTGGGGGGGGGGGGGTAAGGTTCAATAAATATGGAACTGACCTGTACTAATAATAAGAGCAACACGACAAACGGGTGGCTGTGGGCCGAGCGGCAGGAAGGGAAATCCAGCAAGGAAAATGGTCCCGAGTGGCGGGTCACTCCTCCGTGTGGACTCAGGGTCGGTCGGTCGCTCGCCCCACTCGCCTCCCGCCTCTTCCGTCCGACTCATCTGGCTCCCCGCGCCTCACTCAGACAGTCAGAGCGAACGGCTCAGCGCTCGTCAGATCAGCAACCGTTGTTCAACGAGGCGGGGGAACATCGATGGAAACGGCCCAAGTCGTGCGGTGACTCGGAGGCAGTCATCACCAGTGTTTGGCCAAAAATGTGAAATTGCCCGTCCACCGGCGAATGAATGAGGCC